ATATATATATATATATATATATATATATTTCTTAAAAAAATACTTAAAAAATAATCAATATTGTAATATCAAATAATCTGGAAGGCTGTCCTCAGATTTCTGAAGTTTTCAATAAAAAAAAACCTTGAATGCTGGGGGAAAAAATTTATTGGTCAACTTTTGCAGCTTTTTTATGCTATTAATTAATTATTTATTAGAATATCCTAATTAATAACCCATGCTTCATATGAGATTAGTCTGTATTGGCAAGTGTATGTTTCGTGTATTGCTCATCTACAATTCTACATCATTCACCTGATGATTGGTGTCTATGATGAATTAGCCAGGGGAAGGGGATTGTCCTCCAAAGTCTGAAACACTTGGAAAATCCTCCCTAAATTTATAAAAATATTTCAAAGGTAGTGCACTCCCCAACTTCACAGAGTCTGGATTCACTCCACACCAGTATATATCTAGGTTAAGAATCGAGAAACTATGAGAAAAAGGAGAGGAAAATAGCTTACAAGGATATCCAGCACTCCAAACTTCTTTTGAAACCACAAAGCGAAGGTCTTGATAGAAGCAGGATCTGAAACGTCAAGGCGGTAGAAGTGGACATGTAAACCATGGCTTTTTAGCAATTCAACAGCTCTGTTTCCCTTCTCTACATCTCTAGCAGTTAAGATCACAGTCAATCCAAGTTGAGCAAGCTGATTTACAAGGGAAAACCCTATCCCCTTGTTGGCTCCTGTGACCATCGCAACTGTGTCCTTAGACCACCATCTACGCATACATAATTAAGCATTGTTACACCATACAAATAAACAAACATTTTGAATGTGTAGATATAGTTAATGAGCTATTTGTGTCTGATCTTACCTTGTAGTAAATGCGGGGATAGGAGAGGAAGAAGAAGAAGAGAGATAGAGCTCTGTTATTTCCTTGTTTACTTCCATTGTTGAACGACTGAGAGATGCAGGAGATAGTTGGTCTGGGAATGGAAGGAGATCAGTGCAATATGAGAAGCCTTGAGTGGTATTTATATAGAAAAACAAAGGCAAAGCATGGAGACGATAACATCATAATAAATAAAAGGAAACGTGGGGTTCTTTTTTCCTAACTAATTTATGTCACTAGCTAGCTTGGAGTACTGTGTGAAATTAACATCTCTTCTCCACTTACGTTATTCAAACCTTCTACATTATAGCAAGTCAATGGTTTCTACAGGACTACCGTCCCTGCTCCCTGTTATCGTTTAACTGTGCTGGGACAAATAGTCTTCTAATAACATGTGAAAGCTGGCCCGAGTGGAAGGGGGTTTTAGTCGCCTAAGCAGGTGATGATCTCGAGTTTAAATACTTGAGGATACAGTAAGCTTTATTGGAAGAAATCCTTGAAGGATTGGTCCGCAAGAGCATGTGGAAACCAGCTTAGAGAACCAAGAAAAAATATTAGTAATCTTGTACTTTAACTCACTATTAATGGCCGGAGCTAGCACCACTTTTTCTGGGCAAGACTAGAGCTATGATGTTTTAGAGAGGACAGAACTTAAATTCTGCTAGTTTTGGTGCTAAAATTTTAAGTTAGTTCTTTTAAGGACATAATATTACCCCTTAATTATATTATTTACTAGCTATTTGACCTGGGGATTCTAAAAAAGTTTAAAGTATAAATCAAAAATTTTATACAAACATCTAATCAAATAAACAAATAATTATATTTATATAATTATAAACAACAAAAAAAATTGTTAATAATAATCAAAATAGAAACTGAAAAAATTAAAAAAATAATATAAGCCAAGACATTTGATATTGTAAAATGACATATTTACATGTTTGTATTTACTAAATTTATTTATTATAATTAATAAAAGATAATAGAAACATAAACAAATACATAATTAATTGAATAAAAAAACATTATGTAAGGCAAAACATATATAAAAAATACTATTTCAAAATAAATACTTTTAATAAAATAAAGCTCATTTGTATAAAATAAATACAAACAAAATTATTAAAAAAAAACTTCTTTTCCAAAAAGATATGCAAAACCCACGGTCTAGACTATAAGAATAAAATAAATGATAAAGAAGAAATTGAAGATAACCATAAAATCTTCAAAGGCCGGAGCATCTTCAAAGACGGAGGATGAAACTAAAGAAAAAAAAACAAAAGTTATAATTAAAAGATTAAGGAAGAAAAATGAAATAAAAAATAAATTAGAATGCATCAAAGAAATTTAAATTGGAGGGTTAATTTAAAAACGAATAAACTTTAACAAAAGAAAAATTAAATCAAAAAAATGAGAGCTAAATTGAAAACAATAAAATAACATAAATTTTGATTGAAAGATAAAATTAAAAATCAATAAAACTCTAACAAAAGAGCCAAGAGAAAAAAATTAGAAATCTAAATAATAAGGATTGAAAAAAATAATATATGATAAATTGTAATTCAAGGACTAAATTAAAAACATTTGATTCTTTTATAATAGAACCAACGATAAAAATAAAAATTAAAAAATATAAGGACTAGAATTAATAAATCTAAAGATAAGAGGATAAACATGTATTTTTTTGAAAGAGAGAGAAAATAAGAAGAAAAGAAAAAAAAATAACTACTAGCTATAAACCGATCATCACCCACCACCACATGTCGTCTCATAAAAAAAAGGACACAACGGTGCATTCAAAGACATAATAGAAAGGAATATTCAGCCACCAAATAATGCAACATATGCTATCAAAACATTGCTAGCGATATCTTTTCTAACAAATGAATAAGATGCATAATCTATTTTTTTTAATAAAAAAAATGGTTTCCCAACCTAAAAAAACTAGAATTCCCTTCATAAATATGAAAATTAAAAAAAAAATCATGAAAGTATAAAGATGCCCTTAAACACATGCATTGGTTTTTGTCTTTTCTAAAGATATAATAGTGTCTTCTAAAATGTAAAAAATCAAAAAAGTTTTTGGTCAATAACTTTAGTATTTTTTTTACCTTAAAGATAAATAAGTAATTTATTTATTTTGAAGTTTTCAAAAAAGACTAAATTACTCTTCATTAACATTTCTGGTTAACTTTGGGATGAAAAATAGCGTATTTTAACAATGCAAGAAAATTTAAAAATACAAGCATATCCCTAAACATTTTTTTTTAAATAGCTAATGGATTTCTGAAAAGGATTAAATTACCTCCAGGATCAAGAAACTTTTTATTTCAAAGGCAAAAGGATAATTCTACCGTATAAATCCACAGTAAACCGTGTCTTGTGCTAGAGTAGAAAACCCTCACGCCTTGTATTTTTGTTAAATATGATCGTAATGGGAGAGGTGGGGGTAATTTTGCTTGCTGTGAAGGAACTCGATGCATCAAATTACTAATGAGGGGACTCCAATAATCAAACAAACGTGGTCCAAGGGTGGCAAGTGCAATCAACCTAGCCAGCAGCTGCTTATAGACAAAACAAGAAAAATAAAGGAGTGAAAGAAGACAAGCTTCTTTTATTGTCACGT